CAAGGACCAGTATGGCCCAGAGTGGCTCGCCAGATTATTATAAGAAGTCCGAGAAGCATTGCACAATCTATGCAGTCTGAGAACATTTTTTTTTATTTTGAGGGTTCTTTTTTATTTTGAGGGATCAAGATCTGGATAAGAACATTTGAATTGTAACCGTAACATTTGTAATGTTTAATATTGATGAATCTGTCGTCTACGTAGCGTATATAAAGCGAAACCCGATTCCACTAAAAATATATATTAAAATAAATTATAAAATAATAAAATACAAACGGGCCATCACCGCCAGTTAGCAATAAACCGGCAGTGTTGTCGTAACCATCACTGTCGGTTAGCAACTAACCGGCAGTGGCCTCGTTCGGCTTACCCCATATTCGGCTTATTCGGCTTGTTTTTTTAGCCGCAACAGTGTTTTTCTCTCACAACAATTCAGCTGGAACAGTGTTTTTCAGCCAATTTCAGCCAAGATTTAGACCAGCGAACGGGGCCAGTGTTGTCATAATCATCACTGTCGGTTAGAAACAAACCGACAGTGTTGGCTTGCTCAGCACTACCGGCTTGAACCATGAACCGACACTGATGGTTACGACAACACTGCCGGTTTGATCCATGAACCGACAGTGTAAGCTTGCTCAATACTGCTGGCTTGAGCCAAGAACCGACACTTTTGAAGCAACCATCACTGTCGGTTGGCACTACAAACCGGCAGTGTTATTCAACTGAACACTGCCGGGTGGAGTAGAAACCGACACTGTTTTCTGTAGATCAGTGTCGGTTTTAAAACCGACAGTGATGTCAACCCCCATCACTGTCGGTATGCCACTGTCGGTTTAAAATCCGACAGTGAAGTGAATTTTTGAACCCACAGTAATGTCTAGATCTGGGATAATGAGTCGTAACTGCAAGTAATCATGCACCGCTTTTTTTTAATTTGTATACACATTTGTTGTTGACTTGACCTTGTGATATGACTGCATTAGTTTGTATACACATCAGAGAAGATGGAGTCTTGGGCTAACCAAATCAGAGAGCCATACCTTAATTATTTTCTTACTATACACAACATGATTGTTTCTAATAGTTGTTTAATTTACTAGGTCATTAATTAGCTTTTATTTGAACAAGGCGATGCATATGACGGTCTGAGCCACATCCTAGATGAAGTCCTATTATATACTACTATATAGATATATTAAATGAAGTTCTCATTGAACAAGCCGATACCTCGGGGGATAATTCTCGCAGCCCATTTCCACTAGAGAGCACTAAACAAAAACAAATGATTTATTTCTATTTGTTATAAAGGTTTTCAAGATTTTTTTAGCTTGACAACTTAGAGAGCATATCTTGCTTCTAAACTTATATCCAAGACAAATCAAGAATTTGCACGTCACAGCATGTATTGCCATGAAAATCAAGTCCAAGTACATCTTTATTTCTTTTAGAACTCCAAAAGGCAACGCCAGTCGTGTATATCTATATAGCCCCATTCGGTTTACCCCATATTCAGTTTATTCGGCTTATTTTTTCAGCCGGAACAGTGTTTTTCTCTCACAATAATTCAGCCAGAACAGTGTTTTTCAGCCAAGTTTCAGACCAGTGGACGGGGCCATATACACCTATATGTTTAACATTATAAAACAGAAAAGATTCTTTCGCTTTTTTTTTTACTTCCCACAAGACCCTTGTGTATCTCACTCATGATCTCGTATGAAACCTGAACTTATGGCACGTTGTAGAATCACTGGAGTGCCTAGAGAGGGGTGAATAGACTTATAAAAATTCAACTCAAGCAGACGTCAAATTCACTTGCGGCACTGCCACTCTAGGTCAGCGGCACTGTCGGACAGTGCCACTGTCGCACCAGAACAACGGTACTGCCGCACCTGTAGGAAAGACTTTGTTACAGTTCAAAATCTAGCCAACAAAATTTAGATCGGATAATTTTCTTAGCTTCCTACAAAGGTGTAGTTTACAGATCGACAATTGAAATCAGCAACACGAGTGTATACAAGTAGATCGGCATCAAACCCTAGAAATCACCTCAACAACAATATGAAGAACAAGTAAAGTAAATCAAGCACACAATGACACGATGATTTATCCCGTGGTTCAGCTCGCCACTAAGGCTTGCCTAAGTCTATGGTGTTGAGGTATGCCACTAAGGCTAAGGGCTTCCCAACCCTTCCTCGTTCTCAAGCCAAGAGACTCAACTCTTGAGATGATGGGTGATTTTACTTATGGCAAGAGATGGTTACAAACCTCCCGAGGTTACCACAAGCTTGGCATGCTCACCAGGCGACGCTCTAGCCGGCTAGGAGCCAAGCTCCAAGAGTAACAAACACAACCGCCGGCCAAAACGTGAACCAAGTGCTCTTTAGACTTTGGGAAACAGTTGATCTGCTCTCTAATCACTTTTGGCGCACTTTTCTCTCAAGGGTTGATGGGCAATCTCAAAGGGAAGCTTGAGAGCTTGAAGAGAACTAATGGAGGAGAGAGGATATGAGCACGCAGGTCTGTTCTATCGAAATGAGCAGAGGTAGAAGAAGATAGACGTTGGGAAGGACAGGGAAAAATATAAATACCCCCTGTCTTCCAACGGTCACTTAAGTGCGGCAGTGTTGCCCTAAGTGCGGTAGTGCCGCAGTGCGGCAGTGCCTCTCTTCAGGTGTGGCACTGCCGCGCACCACGCCAAACAGCAAAGATATAGGAGTTGGGTAGCTGACTGTCTTGGCTGAGGTACTGAGAATGTTTTGACAATAGATTGAGCACTTGGTTGCACATATTTAGCAAGTTGTTGTGTCCCCCTTTATAGTACGTCTTTTCCTATACTCAAATTCAAAAGATAAAATAAATTAAACCTCCCTTTTAGTGCGATACTGTCCACATTTGTAATTGGGGGCTCCTCCTTTTCATATAACATCCTCCAATGCATATTCTCTGCTTGTCGTCTCGATAAGTCTCATTAGTTCTCTAATTAGGTGGTCATCAACGCCAAAATCCACATTATGGCTTGATTGCACTTACACACGTGTTCGTCATATGAGTTAGAACCATGTCCCCAACAACGGTACGGGGTCATTACATAAATCTTCGAGCCACAAGTCTTCAAGTGATCACACAACAAGGTGTATGTTTTGTTGCAACACACATACACGTTTGCTAGTATATATAAATATATAATAAAGTATTCTCTAGTGTTACCTAATCTCCATTCCTAAATCTCTAACCCTAGCCGACCGGGCATGACGTGGTGGCGGCATTGCTGGTGTCCCAAGTGTATGGCGCGAGCGCGGCCTCTGTGCCTAGGTTATGCCTATGCGACAACCAGCGTCGCGCGGCGCACGCGGGTGCAAGGCCATGCCACCTTTCATGAGGAAGAAGATGGGGGAAGGAAGGAGGAAGGACTTGAGTCGTCCACACGTTAGTGACATGAACTGAGAGGAGGGTAGAGGGATATTCTGGCCGATACAAAAATACGATGCACTGTAAATCGGCCCAACGACATTCAAAATGTATAAAGTGGTAGATTTCAGTTATCCGTATAAGTGTAATGGTACGGTTCAGAATAGGTGAATAATAATGATATTTTTTGAATCGCAAAATTGCAACGGCACCCATGCAAATAACCCTTTTCTAAAACAAGCTAAAACATTGTTTCAAAATTATAAGTTCCAAAAAGTGTGTTTTTATCACCAGTTTACGGGTATAGCACGGCACGCAGAACTAGACGGTAGCACAAAGGTAACAAAGTTTATATGGGTTCTGGACCCATGAGGAGGCAGCGTGGTATGTCCAATATGTTTGTGAATCCAACTGTTTCTTGCCTCTATATTGAGATGTGTAGATATGAGATGAGTTAAGCACTTGAGCATCATCTCCATACAAACAGCACCATTCGGATTCATCAAGGTGATTCTAGTATTTGGTCATCTCCCTAGTGTCCAGACTGGGGAGCACGCCCATGATCACCTCATTATTCCCCCTTCTGGCACCACTCTTCCTCATACAATATCTGACCTCTGGATTCAAGGTTCTAACTCTTGGAAACCTACTCTCATAAATATAGTGTTAAGCCTATATGTATCTCCTTGCACAGATTCAGGTGACTGTCCCAACTCAAGGAGCTAGAAGATTGACCCCTCGATCAGATCATTGGGCTTCTCCAAAGACTCTTTTCCATGGAGACTCGTTTCACATGCATTAGCAACACGTGGGCTTCAAGGTACTCTTCCCACATTGACAGCCACTGCAAACTTTCAAGGTACTCCCACATTGACAACCACTGCAAGCTTTGTGGTAAGAATGAGAATGATAAGCACCTTTTCTTTGATTCTGACTTCGCTCGAGCAATCATCTGGTTTAGTTTATTAGTATACAACTTTCGTTGTCCCTTCTCCATCCTGACTCTTGTCCGAATGAGCTATTACAGAAGGTTCACACCAATTTGTGGTATATTTACAAAGATAAAAAAAATTTAATAACAAAAAGTGGACCATCATGAAGCGGTTGCCCTGAGATTTATGTTTGATTTAGTGGTAATTGTCTTATAACTTACTCTGTAAACTACGTAGTTCACAATGTATTAAGATTATGATAATCTGATTATATGAACCAGGGCAAATAACACGGCCTGATAATAATCCTATTTTCAGTGTTTCTTTACCTGCAGCTCACCAGGGTATTACACCAGAAAAAAATAGCTTTTCTTCCACAGAACAGAACATAACATACCGCAGTTAAATTTTGGTTACAATAATAAGGGCAGAGCCCCAAGTTCACAGTGCACTACTTTGCCTGACGAGGACATGGTCCCGGCATGGCCACCATCACCAGTTCAAAAGTTTATTGCTGTGTTTTGACAGGTCAGAATGGTAAATGTGTAAAAAAAACAAAAAACAAAGCTATCCCCTCATCACTGAGGGGATGATCCACGTATAAAATCAAAATAAACAGCCCTCGGGTCAGGCCGGACCAGAGGCGCCATCACCTTCAACTTACCTGCTGTAGATACACGACCCTACTTTGTAGCTCAACAAGAGAATCATGGCCGACATAAAGAAAAGGTAAAAGCCACTTCGCAGCACCATGGGGACGGTGCTAATCCGAGTAGCATCCTCGAGACCAACAGGAAGCTTGGATGACACGTCGCTCTCCACGGCGAAAGACACAAGCAAACTCAAGTCTCCATTCTTCTGCAAGGGCCACCGATAGGAGCCGCTGCTGAAAGTGAGGCCATCAAGTTGGATGATGCCAGCAGTAACACGAATTGAGCTTGAGCTGACAGCCGAGAGCATCCCAACAGATTTCCCTGTTGATGGCGGGAATTCTGAGGCCATTGCAGGTGGAGCTGGGATAGAGCCCAACATGCTGGCAAGGCGCTTTCCATAAGTTTTATCAGCAGTGTCATCTGTTGGCACACCTGGAGAAAAGGCAGTTACAAACTTACAGTCGAATTGTAGGTATGAATTTATTTGCAGACAAACTCAAGTATAGGCACCACAACATTCAAAATGAAGCTCTACAATATAAGTATACAACGCTAAGTATTAGTAAATAAAGAAATAAAAGGAATATAACTAATGTACCTGGAAATTCAGTATCTTTATACAGATCCTCATGGGAACCAGATGAGGATGCACCGTACTGAGCATTTGCTTCAGGAACCTCAGAGATCCCATTGAATGTTAACTTGTCTTTGTTATCACTCTGTAAATAAGTAAACAATGTGGGTGTATCACCAGAAAGACAAGAAAGAAGACATGCTTAGTGATCACAGATTAGCTCCTTAGCATACAGAACTAGCGATCACCAATTATTTCTTTAGCCTAATAGTCAGAGAACTAGGAAGGAAATGCAATATATATATATATATATATAGCAGTTCCAAGGCACACCTTTTGGGCAAAGTTCAACGGCATGTCTGCAAGTTGATAATTCGAACCCTGAGCAGAGCCCAAAATGTCATACTTGAAATCATTCTCTGTGGCATCAAAGTAAGCCATCACATCATCTCCATCAAAGAGTGATTCATTTCCAAGTGGCTCATTGAGGAGGTCGTTCAGATATACGAAGTCATCATTTCCATCCAACAGGTTGTAATCAGATGGAGCATCATAAAATACCATACTATCATCCACTTGGCGAGGTGCTGGAAAGCCATCAGCTTGCTGGTGCCCAGAATATGCAACCCCATTGGTATCATTCCCTGTGTCAAAGAACTCATCGGCAAGAAGGCCATTGACATAGTTCTGATTACTATATGCTCTCAAAGGCCAGCTTGTGTGATCACCATCTGCTGGACCACTCCCATTCATAGTGTTATCCTGGCCTACATAGCCATTATCTTTCCTGGGGTATGCTGATAACAAGTCATCAACATTGATGCTATCATCAGTTGCATTCTGCCCTTCAAGTCTACCTATATTCTCCACACTAATATTCGACAAAGGTTCCTGCAAAATCTCTTCCAGAGAAATAGCACCATCAGCACAGCTTCCATCACTCGTCTCTTTAGAATCCTGACCTTGTAGAGGAGCCATCTCTGGTGGATTGAGCATTTCATGGACCTGAATTCAAGGGAAATGATAACAGAAGTAAATATCAACACGTTTAACTAGAGCTGCAAGGCGACACTCAAATTCGATTGCATGCCAGGAAATACGATGTCATTTAGTTTCCATCGGGAGAGTATAATATGAGCAAATAAACATTTACCAAAGGAAGATGAGATGATTCTACTCGAGCAGGTCTGTTTGTTTCACAATAAGCATTCTCATCGTCCTCATTTGACTCCTCATCTACAGCACATGTGATTGCAGCCATTTGAGCAGATGCGCCACTGGTAGGACCATTCTCAATAGCATCATCATCCTCTTCCCATTCCTCTTCCATGTATGGTGCACCATACTGCGCACCGTTCTGCGGTCCAGATCCATGCTTCTGGAAGATTCTACACACCACATGCAGATCCTACAGGCTCAGCAGAAAATAAACATCAGGATTTAAGCAGAACATGGGGCAAGCCTCAAAAGCACGTTCTCCTAAGCAGCATACATAATATGAAAAAGGAACACATAGCCAAAGAGAAGCATTATTCTTAGTGCATTCCTTTTTTCCCACTTTTAGATCAATCACACACAATTTCTGGAATTGAACTCTGGTATGGGAACTTGCAGCGACAAATAACTACTTCCTCGGATCCCTTAGGGCACCTCCAATAGTGGCTTATGAGCTAGCTCCAAGCATTTTGTTTCATATTTTAATAGAGAGAGAGAGAGAGAAGAGATCTCTTGATCAAGAGCTAGTCTCATACACACATTCCAAGACCATGTGAGGTTGTCATGTGGGCCTATCCATATTATGAGCTATTGCTAAAAGTTAACACCATTGGAGACGTTGTCTTAGAGACAGTAACTAGCTCATACTGTTGAGGGTGCCCTTATACAAGTCCTGGCATGGCCCGGTCTACAAAGTTACACTTTGACTAGCAAAATTTATAAGAACACACTACTTTAAATAGAAAGAAGGCCTAGAAAGAACTATAGTAATCATGAAAGTTATTTGCATGAGCAATCTATTAACATGAATCGTATGAAGTCGATCTATTGGCTTTTATAGAAATAGATGGTAATAAATGTTAAGAAATTTGAGTTAGGACAAACTCAAATGAACTTATATTTGGGTTCAAAGGTAGTCCAGTACACCGTCCTAACGTTGTTTGATAGAACCATCCAATGACACAAAAACAAGGGCTATGTATATCATAATCATGCAGCATGACGAGAATACACAATGTGCTGTTGCATATTTCAGGTTACAGAATTTTTTTTATACAAAAGACAAAATCAATCATCTATCTAGTAACCCCTTTTGGTTTGCATGCTGCCATGCAACAAATAACAATGTGAAGCGGCAAACTCGCCTTCCACGAATGACTAGATGTATTGTCGGAGGGTCCTTATTCACGAAAGGATGGTCTCACAACAACAGGGTTGCCAACGATATCATCTTGATGTAGAAGTAAATTAGCACCCACACAGGAGGAAGAGAGTGGTTGCACCTTTTCAGGTTGCAGGGATTTATTTACAAAATTTAGAAACATGTACCAAGCCAAGCCCTTTTTGGTTTTTGCATGGCATCCTACCATAAATTGTGAGAATACAAAACCATAAGGAGAGCTGCTTCCCTTAAGCGGCTGACGATCGAAATATCTGTATTGCAGATGGCCCTTAAATCGACAAAAGAAAAATACTGCGCCGATTGGTCCGCGTGCAAATAGATTGGGCAGTCAGCCAAGCGCGTGAATTGGGGCAGAAAGAGCAGATCATCAACCTCCAGAGCTGGGAGGTGGTGTGTTTGGGGATCGGATAGTAAGTAGTACATACATACACACTCTAATTTAGATACACGCTCTAATTGATTAGATGAACACTCTAACTGATATTGATTGAGGATGGATGGTTGATTGATTTGTGAATGAAGCAAGGAGAAAACAACCTGAGGGCCGTCTGCGTCGAGGAGGCGGTACTCGTGCATGACCCAGTTGGTCCTCTCGCCCTTAGGCGCCCTCCCGGCGTGGAAGACGAGCGTCTTCTTCATCCCGACGGGCTTGCCGCGGTGGTGCACCTCGCGGTCCTTGCCCGTGGTCTTCCAGTACCCCCTCGGCGTGGCGCGGTTGGTCCTGTTGCCGGGGCCGCCCCGGCCCCCGGCGCCGGCGCCGGCGACCTTGCGGTCGAGGCGGGCGAAGAAGTACCACTGGGCGTCGCGGCTGCGGATGCGGGAGAGGGAGGGCAGGTCCCAGGGCTCGAGGCGGTAGAGATCGACCTCGGCGATGGCGTCGACGCGGAGGCGGCGGCCGAGGACGCGGCGGCGGAGGTAGTAGGAGACGAGCTCCTCGTCGGTGGGGTGGAAGCGGAAGCCCGGGGCGAGGGGCACCTCCGCCGCCGCCGGCGGGGAGGAGTCGAGCGGTGATAGGCTCATCGTAGTCTCTATCTATTGAGACTACGAGGGTTGGTGGAGAGCGAGCGAGCGAGCGATCGATCGATCTGGTACGGTAGGGTTGGGCCGGGCTAGGATCTCGGGGAATTTCGCATAATTCCTCGGGTGGGAGGAGCGGATTTGGGTTCGATCGGGGGTGGGGGTTGCTAGGGTTTGGGAGTGGGGTCTGGGGAGGCGGCGAACACGATGAGGAGGGGAGCCGTGGAAGTGGAGGAGTCTGCTCTTTGGCGTCGGCGTGAGCAACGCAACGGGGAAGCAGGAGGGAAGGAGCCGCGTGCGTGGACTACTCCACGAGGGCTCGCCTGCTTTTGCTTTGCTCTCCATCTTCTAGAAGACTACTCCGGGCGCACTCCAAAGTTTGGTACAACGAAAAATGGCGTATTTCTTGGTAGATAGATAAGGTGAATTTGATTATATTATATCTATATCTATACCTAATTTTCGCCTTTTTTACCTATATTTTTTTTATGTTCTTCTCTAACTAACTCGGTGTGAATTGAAATTATTTCTGTTTGTCTCTCCACATCTCTCCTATTTTATACTACCTCCGTTCCGATATATAAGTTATTTTAACTTTTTTGATTTATTTATTTTGCTATGTATACATAGACATGTGGATCCAAATCCTATAAATCTTGCCGTAGAGTCCTATACGTCATGAACAGGCATAAGGAACAGAGAACCACAACATTTCCGATTTCTTTCCTTATTTTGATGTTCTTTTCCTATTTCTTTCTCTTTTTTATTCAAGTTCCGTCCGTGTTCAGTTACGTCTGATTTTTTTTTCAGTTGCTTCCTGGAAAATGAATATATATAATACACTGTCCGTGAGAGTCCAGGACGTGGCGTGGTACAACTCATCGAACTCCGATTAGGTTCAGGTACGTTTCTGTTCTTTTTATTTTCTCACGTTCAACTAAACCTGTTTTTATTCTGCTATTTTCACATTCAACTAAATGCGGATGTGAAAATAGAAACATGTAGATAAATAATAACAAAATATAAAGAATAAAAAACACAATAAATAGGCTTTGAACTCTAGAACTTTGATGGAGAAAAAAATATTTTCACCGCCAACAACTAAATGCGAAAATGAAAATAGAAACGGGTAGATAAATAATAACAAAAAATAAAGAATAAAAACAACACTATTTCTTTGAACTCTAGAACTTCGATGCAGAAATAAATATTTTCACCATCAAGTTATTAATGTAATATTGATTAAAAGCAAAACCATGAAACTACATATTGAGTAGTTTGTTATCTAATTCAATCTAATAAATCTACCTCCTGTACTTACGCACCCGTGCAACCACTGACAACGGAATGATGTGGAAAAATCGAGAGCAGCCATCTGTCATGATCATCATATTCATTAAGCATAGTAGTTCACTTTTTCTCCCGTTATAACGCACGGGCATATTTGCTAGTCACTACTAAATTATAAGACGTTTTGGCTTTAGGTACGTAGCTATTGCTATTGCACTTCAAATATATATTATATCTTATATTTTAAAGTGGAGTCAGAATTATTATATATAACTTCTCTTGCGAGTTGTATGATAGACAAAGCCAAGTGAGCCATGGCCTCCCTTATCCAACTAATTCTAAACTAGATAAATAGTAATTTTAGCACAATTCATGGTTATAACTAATTCTGAATTTAAATGAAGTTTTCAATTGCCAAAACTAAGAGCCCTCGATTGGGCAAAGGAATATTCTTAGGCTGTTTGGTCATTCAAGGAGATTTTTACAGTGGATAGAAACAACTTCCTCCATCACTAAAAATATACAATTATAGCATAGTATAAAGTACAGAGTCAGTGCATACTAAGTTTGACCAAGTTTAATTATAAATAAATATCATTGGATTCTCTATTTAATAAATAGTGTTGTCGGGGACCAATACTAGGGTACCCGAAGAGGAGGAGCTAATGGTCATTAATATTGATTCGCCCAAGCTGTCAAGTGCGCGACTACAGCTCCAACCGGCCCCGAGGCGCACGGGTTCCGCCTCGCCCGACCGCTGAGGGCAGGCTCCGCCTCGCCCAACCCATGGGTCAGGGGCTCCACCTCACCCGACCACTGGGGCCAGGCTCGCCTCCCCCGACCTCTGGGTCAGGGGCTCCGCCTCGCCTGACCCCTCAGGCGCGGCTCCCAACGGAAGCCCATACCACCGCCAACAACTACGAGCCAGAAAGTACGACCCAAGGTCAAACTTCTGGCACCTTGCAGGGAGTGTGTGCATCTCATCATGACCCATGCCCACGATATGTCACTCCAGGGAACTCACACCACCAACAGTGACGGACGCGTGGTCGCTATGCTGCCTACTCCCTGTACGGTCGCTGACCAGAACGCCGGTCCGCCGCGTCGCCCACCGGGACGGGATGGGACGCCATGACCCGCTGACAACGCTAGGGTGTGGCATCAGCGGCGATTAGGCACCCGGCGTAGAGCCGTCCTTGTCACCTTTTGTAGTGCCGGCGGGACCCGCATAAAGGAAAAGAAAGGCTCGGCGGTTTGAGAGGCCTTCTTCCCCTTGACTTTTACCCCTCTATCTCCCTCTCTCCTCCTCTATAACCTGCTCATCCCCTTAGACTATAAAAGGGAAAGCAGGATGGCCCATGAAGGACACGAAAACATATGACTCTGCACGGCAATAGACACGACACATCCTAGCAACACACACGCACCAGAGACTTGGGATCCCGTCCCTCTCTCGCCCGTTTGTAACCCCTACTATAAACTTTCAGTGCCGGTAACAGGAGCAGCGCTGAACTAGACGTAGGAACATTCAGCCCGAACTAGTATAAATCCTTGTGTCTTCCGAGCACACCATCCGAGCCAGACGCGCAAATACAAATTTACTAGTTGGTGACTCGAAACACCAACAGTTGACGCGCCAGGTAGGGGCCTTTTGCGCATCTCGACGACATCTCCAGGCTTCGGATGGCCAACCACGGCATCAGCTGGGTCCTGGGCGCGCACGTGCATTTTGAGAGCCTAAGCTTCGTCATCACGGTGGAGGAAGAGCTGGCATAGGCTCCTGCCATCACCCGGCTTCTTCACCCCACCAACCTCGACGTGATCGATGAGGCATTCGAGAAGCTATGGCTACATGCACCAAAGGCTCGCGCCCCCAGGAGTGACTAGCTCCTCGACTTCGACTACGGGAAGCTTGAGCGCCAGCTCACCGCCTTCCTAGGACCCCGACCATCCCGGAAGGACTAGCTCTGCCTCGCCTTCTCCGACGCCAGCGTCATGACGTAGCTCGCTGGAGGGGAGCCACTCACCCAGGGGCAACTCATTGGATGAGCCACGGCGGTGTTCCCCTTTGGCTTGCGCAATGCTGCATGGGCTATGGGCCACCTCATGGTGCAACCCTTCCGCCCATCCCCTACGAACGACGCATTCGTAGGAGCAGCGGAGTATGTCACGGAATCACTCCATGACCTTCTCGTGGGGGGCTCGGAATCTTTTTCTGACTCCGACTCTAGTAGGGGAAGCCATCACCCCTCACGGGAGTGCTTCATGGCGGAGACTCCCTAAGGGCGTGCTAAAAGCGTCCACGACGTGGCCGATCAGCTGTGCGACGACGATGACGACGACGAAGGCGCGGGGGCTTTGCTACACATGCAGGAGAGGTAGTTGCATGCACGACAGCAGGAGCTGGAGGAGGCACGGCTCTAGCTCGAGCAAGAACGTATGGAGCTCGAGCAAGAGATCGCACGATGAGGATCATCGAGGACGATGGGGGCCTCCCATGTTTCGCCCGCGTGAGCTAGAACATAGCGGCCACATCACCTTGCTCGAGGGCTCCCTAAGCCCATGACGCTAGAGGACCATCGGCTCACCGAGAGATCCGCACGTTACTCAAGCGTGCCGTGGTGCAGCAAGCAGAGAGCTTGTTGTCCCGACGATGCGAGCTCGACATTGGTCGCCACGCCCCCTCAAGGCAACACGACAAGGATGTCTCCGTCCACCAGGCACCACGCAATGACGGACAAAGGGTTGCGGTCTCGGTGCGTGGGCGCCTCGACCGCAATCGCGACGCCCACGACACTCTGAACGCCCGCAGGCGTGCCCACGGTGATGAAAGTGATGGGGCCAACCATGGCTACCACCCTCGTCGTGGTGGGCGCTATTACAGCGCTGAAAACCAAAGCCTGAGCCCCGACCTACCGGGGCCTTAGGATTTTGGTCGCTACATCCTCAACGCGCCCTTCTCGCCACGCTACCGGCCACCGACCAACATCCTAAAGTACTCTAGGGAAACGAACCCCGGGCTGTGGCTCGAGGACTATCGGCTCGCTTGCTAGGCCGGTGGCGCGGATAGTGATAGCTTCATTATCTGCAATCTCCCCCTGTTCCTCGCTGACTCGGCACGAAGATGGCTGGAGCACCTTCCGCCCAACCGCATCCACAGCTGGGCGGACCAGAAGGAGATCTTTGTGGGCAACTTCTAGGGCACCCACGCACGCCCTAGAAACCCATGAGACCTCAAGAGCTGCTAACAGAAGTTTGAAGAAACTCTTCGCGAGTACATCCGGCGCTTCTCCCGGCAGTGTAATGAGCTGCCCGACATCGCCGACACCGATGTCATCGGGGCCTTCCTGTCTGGGACCACCTATGAGTCCCTGGTCCACAAATTGGGTCGCAAGGGTCCGAGGACCACCAAGGAGCCCCTCAACATCGCCACCAGCCATGCCTCGGGTGAAGAGGCAGTCGGAGCTATCTTTGACCGCTCCAAGGGCAAGGCGAAGTGGGACAATGACGCCGGTGAGGGCGCCTCCAACAGTCCCCACAAGAAGAAGAACAAACAATGGTGCGAGAGCTCGCTCGTGGCCGCTGCCGACCGTAAGGGGGTCAGAAGCCCAACGAGGGCACCCCCGACCACTTTGAAAAGCTGCTCAAAGGACCGTGCCCGAACCACACCATCCCCGTCAAACACTTGTACAAGGACTGTGCCCTCATGAAGC